GAGGGCAGTGTCACTGGCCCTCATATGTGGGATCCGAACCGGGGCCCTCTGGCATCCCAAGCGAGTTCTTAACCATCGCGCCACTCGGCCGGCCCACTTTTCTTTTTTTTGATATTAATGTCAGCAAATTAATGTTTCAAAACGGTAGATGATATGTGCTTTATCACTGTTTGTTTTCTGGACCTTCTCTTTGTTATTCTGTAATTTAATTACAATGTATATGGCTTTGAATTATTTTTATTTATCCTGTTAGGCATACATTTATGTGTGCTTCCTGAATCTGTGGTTCCATATTTTTCATCAGTTTTAAAAAATTCTCAGCCATTACTCTTTTAAATATCTCCTTTCCTCCATCTTTCTGTTTCTTTCTGGGACTTTAAATTTGACATATGCTTCGATTGGGGGCTGGCAGACTTTTTCTGAAAAGGACTCCACAGGCCATATGCAGTCTCTATTACATATTCTTTGGGTTTTTTTTATTTTTTTATTTTAGCAATACAAACCCATTTTTAGCTCACAACAAGATATATGCTTAGCAGAAAAATATGCTGCACTTTTTCTCTTTTCCATGGCTCTTAATCTCATATTTTCCACAACCTTATCTCTTTGAAGCATTCTGTATAAAATCTCTTTATTTATCTTCCAGTTTACTCATTCCCTCTTCATCTCAATTCATTGACTTCAACACCTATATATTTTTATTCCAGATACTCTTTTTTTGTTGTTGTTTTTTGTAGTCTGTCATCTAGTAGACCTTTACTGACTAAGGTTAATTTTTTTTTTTCCATAAGGATTTGTGCTTAAAGTAGAAGCCCCAAACACAGCTTTCCCACCCCACTACTGTTCCAAGTTTTAATCTTCCCTGCTACTGGCTGCCACAGAAATCAGCCTGGAGGCCACTTCCTCTGTCCCCCCTTCCTGGCTGCCAGCTTCTACAGGTAACTGCCTACTGACTGCCTTCTCACTCCTCTGAACTGCTCCTGCCTCTACAGCTTGGTTCTGGGCTGCCCTGGTTCACCCTGACTCCAGCCCTTGTATGCTGTCATACTGTTTCCAGAGCCAAATTGGCTCTTGGTTGCAAGAGCTCAGGCCCCAGCCAGCTCCAAGGTCAACCCACATTTGTCTGTCAGTATGTTTGTTTTGGGGGGCAGAGGTCATTGGAGACCTCTGCTACAACTTGTGAGAGAAGAGCTACTTCAGGGAAGTGTGTTACTGCCCAAGATATAGTTGCCGTGTGAGTTGGCAGGTTTCTCGGAGCTTCTAATCAGTTGTAATGCCAGAGCATAAATCCTGTGTTAGTTTTGTATTTAGAAAAAAGTCATTCGAAAAGGCCTTTCACAAACGTTTACTGAATAAGGAAGAGATGACAATACATTTTAAAATAGTTTCAATATGTTCCTCACAGAAAATTTCTCTCAAATTAATTGTGCTTTGAGGGTCTCTTTCTGGTATACTTCTTTACTTTCTGTTGTGTTTTTATTAAAAATTCACTGATGTTTTTACCTGATGACATTACTAGATAATATTTTTTTTTAAAAAATGAGCACCATTATCGTATATTATGACCATTACTGTATATCAGCAATGAATTTGATATTTGGTGTAGAAGTTTTTATGTAGAGTAAATGGGTTTATGTTTCTCAATTCAGGAAAATGTCTGATCAGGAGGAAGAATTTACTGCTCAGAATGTTTCTGATGCGTCAGAAAAAAGAGGTGGTGCTTATGAGACAATCAATATTCCAGTTTCCTCAGAAGAGCCTCCCGAGTCAGATCAAACTGAAGACAATGAGCCTGAACCAGAAGAGAATGAGTCTGAACCAGAACCATCTGGTGGGAGCCATGAAGCGCGTTCCAAGGAGCAGATTGACCAGAGCTCTTTAAGCTTGGAAATAAACAACGAAGAACAACTCCTGGAAAAGATTATGTCACCTGAAGAAGTTTTGGATTCTCCCGTACATTCTAAAAGGCACAGTCTAACTGAATTGGATAATGCAAAGCAGTCAACCAAACAGCATTCAGATGATTATTTTCTGACATTTCTGGATAAAATAAAGGCTGTAAAGGAATCTCTGAAAACACCAGTGCAAGATTCTTTAGCAACAGGTATTACCTGGGGAAGACAGGATAAGGCTATTTCTTTCCCTCATTTTGAAGAATGGTTGCTTTTTCTTGTTTGGTTTTGCTTAAAGATTTGTTTTATATTTGATGTTATTTTACCTTTTTCTGTACCCACCAAACTTCTCCAGCTACACCACTTGAATCTCTTAACTATGTGGGAAGCTTGTCTATCCTCCAGTATCTACTCTCCCCAAATAAATGAACATCTTTCAGTTTTAAAGGGATATTTTTCTGTTTTCCCCAATTAAAGGGGGTTTTAGAAATGTATAGGGAGCTTAGAAAATGGTGGACAAATTCTTGAGTATAGTCATAATTTATTTGCATGCCAACTTGGAATTAGTTGTACCTAGTTAGCAAGTGGTGGGAGGGGAACTCGACTCCAGGTTTCCTAGTTTCCTATCCAGTGCTCACGCCACATACCATGTTGTTGGTACATATTTCCAAATTGCTGTGTAATGTGACCTTATATTTAGCTGCAGGAAAGCCACTGTCTCTCCTTAGAGGTTCATTTTAAGGATATGATGTTGATGGCGTGTAGCAGTTGCTTCTACATTGTTCGTAAAGCTCAGGGAGGCTGCACAGGGAACCATTCTGCCTGCACGGTTAACGCACTTCTACCCCTAGAGAGTGTCCATCCACAAGGTGGAGCACACGGGCCGTCAGTTAATGGCCCTGAACAGCAGCTTAGTTTGGCTGGTAAAATGTCGCTTTTGAATCCAGTGGGGTAGTTTATCCTTGTGTGGCATCCCCGTAAGTAAAGAATGAAAAGGAGGAAGGAGAAGGAATGAACAAGCCCAGTAATACATAGCTGAAACTGTTATTGTTCAATTTGATTTATTATTCAGTGTAAATAAGGGCTCCTTTTTTTTTTTTGATATTTCTGTGACTCCCTGATATTAGAGCTTATAGCAAACGCATAAACACATGGCGGTTTTTTAGAAACTTGTCTTGGCCCTGAGGCTCACACATTCCCTAACACCCCTTCCCTTCCCAAAGCTTC